AAAAGTAGTATCTACCTCCAGAAGTCAATTTTGTCGTAACTGCTTAGTAACAGTGACCAAACATTAGGGAATTAAACATCAGCCTTTTACATCTTCATTTACCTGGAGGTGGAAGAGGTGGGTGATGATGATGATGATGATAGATTTACAAAGTGCTTTCTCCCTCAGTGGATCAATGAGCTAATGCTTATGTAGCCTTCTTTCACTAAGTTAGACTCAATTTTTATGGGGCAGATTTTTAAATGGCCTAATTTCATAGTAATTCTGCTCTTAGAAGTATAATTAGGAAATGGCTCCTTATAATTCTCCCATTTAGACAGCAAAACCTCTCTAATTGTGGGCTGGGAAGTTAAGATTTCAGCCTTGTCCTAGGAGAGCTCGTGCTCCAGAGCTGCCCCACGACTTTATGTTGTTAAAACTAGTAGGGGGAGGGGGAAAGCCAGGAAAGTACACAGCTGATCACAGTTATTAATTATTGATTTCTGTTTTGAAAAGTTTCGTTTTTTTTTTTACAAAAGGATATAATTAAAAATGGGTGATAAAATTAGACAAGGAGCAGGAAGTAAGTACCAAAAGTTCCTTTTGTTTGATTTCTCTAAGCACTCAAACTTTTGGAGTCACTACCCACGATAAGGTAATGTAGATTTCTATGTCTTTATTGTCCATTTAGAGGATACCTCTCACGGTATCCCACGGGTTTGAAGAAGGAGCCTGCAGATGACGCTGCCGGAAGCCCAAAGTTGTGTGACTATTCTGTTTGTGTTTGTCTGGGCATGCAGAATTCTGGCCACATCTATCTTCTCTTATTCTTCCTTCAGAATATCTTCTAAAACTCCTTCTGTGAAAGGAAAAAAACCTCTGTGCTTAGATTTGTCTCTTCCCAAGCTAGGAAGAAATATAAATCCCAGGATCTTACATCTTCAGTGACCATTGACTGACTGACAGTGGGAGCTTTTAATAACTAATTTCTAAATACTTCCTTTGATAATTATCTCTTTGGAGATGTAGGAATTTTCCACAATCTCAATCAACTGACGTAGGGTAGCTATGGGTTAGTTAAGGTAGTTAGTTATGGTAGTTCCTTCCCACATACTTAGCTAGTGCTTGACATTCACCTAGAGAGTCAGTGACATAAGGTAAAATCTATTCAATATTTTCTTGACACTCCAAACCAATTTTTCCTCAGTGCAAGTCAAGTCCCACTCTACTGAGTTTTCCAATAACTGAATAGCTATAGTGGCTATTCACCTTATTTAAAAATATTTAATATGTAATATGAATTTAACAAAATATGCAATAACACTTCCATCAAGTACAACAATACTTCCAAAAAGTATTTATTGTGACTTGGACACAACTACATACTGGTTCCATGGATCAAGTTGTCTAATTTACCAGAAGGGCTTATGCTGAAGAAATACATATTTCTATGTATAGTGTATGTAAACATATACATATACACATACATAATCATATTTCCCGTATTACAATGTAGACCTTGAAAAGAAAAAAAATTCCATTGAGTCATGCATGTAGAGGTAGATTTAGCTTCATTCCAGCCTCCACAAATATATTTAAAGATCTTGGACAAAGCCAAAAATATATAATTGGCATCCCACTCAAATGCATAATCACAACAATATTTCAATTTAAAGTGGAGACTATATGTGATTCATCCCTCCATGCAGTGTATCTGCTACCAGAAAATCAGACAGGAACCTTGAACCAAATAGCCAAGTGTCTGGGATAATGAGATAAATAACAAGCCCTCATACCCAAATGTATGCAACATACCTGCCTCCCATGTATGACTTCTGTATTGATGGGGAAAGGGAACGAATTTGAAGAAGACACAAGGGAATGAGGAAACTGTCTGTCGTGCAAGGCCAGATAGGGTTGGGAGTAGGGGGTGGAAATTAGCCAATCCATATTTCCTCTCAGATTATTAGTCTCACTAAACAGTATGAAGGCTGTTTCATACCAGGACTGGCTTCAGCACAAAGTGCTGATTGCTTCCTTCACATAGAATTGGACTCTGTGCATCTGCACTAAGTAGACAGCCTCTTATGACATGTTCTTCCTATTAGACTCCCTAACTTCAGAAGCTCCTGGCTCCAATATTTGCCCTATGGATTACAGACGCATTCAGCAGATTGCTGATCTCCTGGATGGCACCATTGCAAACACACTCACGTAGTTCTACCCCATTTACTCGCCACATGAAAAAAATAAATAAATCCCCCACATCCAGGCACACATGTCATAGAATTGAAATCCTGAAAATTCTAATCAAATATCGTGGAAAACATAATAAAATAAGAAATACATTTCAAAGTGCTTCTCTTACACAAAAGGAGTAGATCTAGATCAGATTTGTGGCCTCAAGGCCACAGGTTCCCTACCCCTGATCTTGAGAAACATGTAATAAAATACTGGACCTGGACTAAAGTTGACCTGAAGGTGAATCCCACCTCCCTCACTTATTAACTTTATGACCATGGGAAAATTATTTAACTTCCCTGAACCTCAATATCCTTATCTGTCAGATGAGGATAATGAGACCTGCATCATCCATTTCATAAGATTGTTTTGTGTCTCAAATTTGATCCTGTGTTAAGTGCTTGGCAAACCTTAAAATGCTATATAGTTAGTTATTATTATTACTACCACTGCTATTCTGATGATGATGACAATACCCTGTAGGTAGCTGAAGATTTGGGTCTGGAACATGAAATAGAGATTGAGGCTGGAGATATAGATTTAAGAGTGATATGGATAGGGATAATAGTTGAAGCTGTGGGAGGGAGCAGTCACAAAGGATGACACTGAAGCTGAAATTTGAGCCCTTTGACCACCTCTAAGTAGAGAAAGTGGGTTATTGGGAAACATGCACTTTTATATGTGATTTATAGATACATATATATGCCTGTTATATGTGTGTATAGGCATACACACACACACACACACACACACACACACACACACACTGTAGAAGTGCCACTGGAATATGTTAGGGCAAGGACTGTCCTCCACTTCTAAGCCACAGTACTTAAATACAGTACCTAGAAGATTTTAGGCACTTAATAAATGCTGATTGACATTGACATCCCTCTGGAGAATCAAGTGTTTTCTACACTACCAAGATGAATTACATTTTAAAAACATATACCAAGTCTGATGCAATTTTTTTTAGATACTGTATATAATGCCACAGTCCTGTTGATGATTTTGGAAGCCTTCAGTCCCATACACAATTAATACTTTATATGTGCTGTTGAATTAATTTGAGGATCATCTGACAGAAATATTACTAAGGAAATTACTGTCATTATTTTTGTAAGTTTTCCTATTCATTCATTTTTTCACTAATTCAACAATGTTTTGAGTACATACTATAAAAAAGGCACTGTGCTAGATATTGTGGAACACATAAAATATATAATATATAGTATACAATATATAATATAAAAGTTAGATGGAGTAGTGGGTAAAGTGGAAAGTTAGAATCAGAAAGACTTGAATTTTAATCCTGCCTTACTAGTTGCTTACTAGCTGCTTGTCCCTGGATCAAGTCAATTAATCTCTCTATGTTTCGGTTTTCTCCTCTGTTAAAAAATATAATAGAATATATAGTAATATCACAGAGTTGTAAAGAGCAAATGAAATAAGGTGTAAAGTGCTTTGTGAAACAAAGTTCTACATAAAATGATAGCTATTATTGTCAACATGTATGTATGTATACATGTAAATATATATGTATTTATGTATGTATTTATATATATATAAACAGAATAAGGAGTTGCTTAAAAAATTTAGATAGGTTCTCAGATAAAGGCCTCATAGCTCAAATATATGAAGAACTTTGTAAAATCTATAAGAAAACTAGTCATTCCCCAGTTGATAAATGGTTAAAGAATATGAATCGGCAGTTTTCCAATGAAGAAATCAAAATAATTTATAGTCATATGGAAAAATGTTCTAAATCATAATTGATTAGAGAAATACAAATTAAAATAACCTTGAAATATTATTTTACACCTATCAGATTGGTTAAAATGGTGGAAGGGGAAAGCAACAAATGTTACATAGGACGCAGAAAAATTGGGACATTAATCACTGTTGATGGAATTGTGAAATGATCTGGGCATTTTGGAAAGCTATTTGGAATTATGCCCAAAGAGTTATTGAACTACCTATACCCTTTGACCCAGCAATACCACTACTAGGTCTGTTTCCCAAGATGATTACAAAAAAAAAAGGGAAAAAAACCTACGTATTCTAAAATATTTATAGCAGCTTTCTTTGTGGTGGCAAAGAACTGGAAATTGCAAGGCTGCCCAACGGTTGGGGAATGGATGAATAAGTTGTGGTATATGATTGTGATGAAAAATTACTGTGTTATAAGGAATGCTCAAAAGACTCAGATGAATGGACTTGTGACTTTAATAGAGATTGTTTTACAATGAATTAATTACTGCTTTTCCTTAGATTGGAATCACTGGTGGAACTCCATAGATGGATCTTTATTATAATGGATAATTCATCTGTGACTGCCTTTGTGGGGAAAATAAAAAGTGCCATCTTGGCAAACTTTTACAGTACAACACAACATATACTTTGGTTCCCAAGTAGAGTAACAAGAACAACAAAAAATGAATGTTTTTTTCCTTAGGTTAACCATGTTCTGGTATGTGAATGGCATTTCTCTTTCAATAATTTAAAAATCCAATTTGAAATATAGTCTCCTTGGGGAAGAAACTGTGTTTTCCCTTGTTCTCTGCAAAACTGAACACATTCATGAAATTCAATAATAATAAACAATGTAATAATCTTCTATGACCATGGAAAAATTATTTTTATGTGTTTTTGATGATGGGGACCTGGGCCAAGACAAGTCCTTCTTTTAAAGTCCAATGATGATTTTTAATTACTATTTATACAATGTTAGTTCTTTGAAATATCCTTGGTAGTTGTTTTTATTAATCACTATTTTGTTCTAGGAGCGTCTTCTGCTTTCTTTACTGCCTGCTCACATTGCCATGGAAATGAAAGCAGAGATCATTCAGAGGTTGCAGGGACCCAAAGCAGGCCAGCTGGAAAACACAAACAACTTTCACAATCTCTATGTCAAGAGGCACACCAATGTGAGGTATTGTGCTTTGTTCGTTTGTTAGCTGGATTTGGCAAGCAATCTGGCCAAAGACTGAACTGACTTCCTGTGCCTGTGCTTTTGAAGTCCAGATCTTAATACTATGGCATTAATTTTTGTCTGTTATTCCTATGATCCTTGTTTTAACTATTGTTATGTATATTGACAAAATGGCTGTCACCTTCATGTCTGCTCTCAGGGATTTTGCAGTCATAGAAAACTTTGAGTATTTTGAAAGCCTCTGTACTTTCTTGGGATATCTTTCTTTCCCAATCATAATTCTGCCTTTTCTTAAGTTGAACATTGTTGAAAATGCTTCAGGTCCAATTTTCAAAAAGCACATTAATAGAAACAAGTTAGTGTGGTGAGCGGAGTGCTAGATTTGAAGCCAGAAAGACGTAAGTTCAAATCCTTCCTAACCCACTTACTCATTATATTAGTAATAAGTACTACTAGTAGTAAAATTACTATTATTACTATTTACTAATAAATTACCATTAATACTAATAAATATTACTAGTAACTAGTATACTAGTGACTTGGGTAAGTCACTTAACTTCTCTCTGCCTTAATTTCCTCATCTGAAGTGGATTGGATTCATTGGCCTCCAAAGTCCCTTTAGGCTCTAAATCTATGGTCCTGTGCCATGCTAGCTGAGACTCTGGCAAATGGTTAACTCCTAAAAAGTCCAAAAGCAAAAATGACTGTGCTTTAAGGAACTTAAAAAAGCATGACATTTTAACCATTGATTGAAAGCATATGAAAGTACCACTTAGCATTATCATAAACATCAACCATAAGAGTTATCAGAAATGCTGTGCTAAGTGCTCTGAAACAGGGCAATTAATTTATATCTTGCAAATTCAAAGCAACCTTTTAAAATGCTAAATACACGTTCAGTGTAATTCAAAGATCATTTATTAATACCAGCTATGTGCCAAGAAGTAGTCCCTATCCTTAAAGAGTTTATGGTCTACTGTAGAGAAACATGTACACAGAGAAGCACTTACAACTATGAAAAAAATGATTGAAGACTCGGGGTAAATAGAGGGGGAATCAGGAAAGACCTCATTTTAGGAAGTCACTTGAACTGAGCCTTAAAGGATCCTAGAGGTTCTAAGAGATAGGGATGAGAAAATAGAGTGTTCCAGGCATGGGGGACAGCCTTTGGAAGGAAAGATGTGCATAAGAGATAGAATGCCATGTATGGGGAATGTTTAGAAGGCCATTTTGTCTGGGAAGTAGAATACATGAGGAGAAGTATTGTGAAATCAGTTTGAACAGAGAACCAAATTGTTAAGGGCTTTAAATGTCAATCAGAGGACTTTTTTTAATCCTAGAAGCAACAGGGAACCATTGAAACTTCTTGAGCAGGAGAATATGTTCAAATCTGTGCTTTAAGAATATCAATTTAGCTGACTTGTGGAGAAGGGACAGGAAAAGGGAAGCCCAGAGATAAGAGACCAATCCATTAGATAACAAGCATTTATTGAGGGCCTATTACTTGCTGGGCAATGGGTATATATAAACAGATAAAAACGAAACAGAACTTCTGGGCCACTGGATGCTAATTAGGAAACCAGTTAGTTCTTCCGGTAGCACAGGGGATGAGGGTCTAAATCAGTGTGAGGCTCTGTAAGTAGAGAGACAGAAGTAATTTTAAGAAATGGATATCCTTTCATATCTATTCATTTTACACACAAATAGATCCACTAAATGTGGAAATAGAGAATATTTTATTTGGTCTTTTAAATAATTTTGCAATAAATTAGAAAAGTTACTGATCCTCAGTAATCCTTTGTAGAGGTTCTGAACCTTTTGTGTGCCAATCTTTGGGAATCTTTTGGAGCCTATAGACCACTTCTCACAATAAAGTTTTTAAATGCATAAATTCAATGCATAAAATAAAATACATAGAATTACAAAGGAAACCAATTATAGTAATCCCTTCCACATAGTGGGTGGGAGTGAGGGGGTTAGGGACTGGGCACCCCTGCTACCTGGAAAATCTGTTTAAATTTTGTTGGCCCTCCCTTTTGTACCAGAGAAGAAGTCTGATTCTTTTTCTCTTATGGGGTGTTTACAGTACCTTATTGTAAAATTTGGGTTAAGTATTTGATCACAGGCTCTGTGTCATCTGCTGACCTTCACATATCATCTGTGGCTTCTGTAAAACTCCCAAAACTTTCTCATTTTATTTCTTATGCTGACTCACAACATATCAAAACCATGATGGAGAAAGTTGCAATGTGGAAGGGATGACTGTATGCTGAAATGAAGTTATAAAATATTTTAGGTGAGTTCATGGACCCCAGGTCACCTACTATTTCATATAAATGGAGCCCAAAGGATGTGTTTCTTTAGCCAGCTGATGTCCATATCACCTCTCCATCTGGCTTCTGGGAGAGTATCTGTTCCAGGGGAGTGCTAGGCTTCATCATGGGGCAGTTTCCAATAAGCACCAGACACACCTGTATATTCTGTTTAATTATCATTAAATAGAATAGCCAAAGATTCTGCAGAACATTGGAAGAAGGTGACTTTGTAAAGGATAAACTGAATACCTTCTTATGGAAAGGAAAGGCAAGCAAGATGGTCTTTAGAGACAAAAAATAAATCCATCTCGCTATAGGAAATATTTCTACATGTTATAATTAAAGTTAAGAAGCTTGCAGAGATTTCTTAGCACAAAGAAAACCTGATTAAATAAGGTTCCAGAATAATAAGAAATGAAAGGATTAGAAATATCAGCCTGACTAGGTATTGCCAGCCCTGAAGGCCCAGGATTTTACTGAAGGGCAGCATTCACAGTGCCTGATAAGGGAGAATATTCAGCCCACTGCAATTCTTCTGCCTCAGATATAGACCAAAGTTCAGCCACCATTCTTTAATCCCTATAAAGGTTTGTAAGTGACTGATAATCCACACTTGTAAAGATAAGCATAGATTTAAATGAATGGAGTCCCAGAAAAGCAAAGGTTGAGTCCCATAGCAAATATCTTTGAGTAAACATTAGCCCTGATATTCCAGGGTTAAACGGAACTATGAGTGACTAAAAACAAACACAGAGAGCTGTTAAACAGCATTGGAAAATCAATGGCAGGCCAGCTAAAATTTGGTGAAAATGATAACATGGATTGTGTATTTTAAAATGACTTGAAAAATAGATGAAATTTAAACAAATACACAGCGACATACACACACAAACCAACCAAAGAGGGCAAATGGAAAGTGAATTTATGTTCTCAAAATGGACTATGTAAAATGTATTGCAGTATGCACTGTAAGAATAAATAATGTTTACTTGCTGGCTTAGGCAAAGAAGGGAGTTTGGCCTTATTATTTGAATCCAGGCCTGTCTATAAAAAGTATGCTGATAATTGAGGCAGGAACTGAATTGTTGTTGTTATTCACCTGAAATGTATTTTATTTTCCTATGTCAGCAGTCCCTGGTTCACCTGACATGGGCAACCCACTTTTATGAAGCAACACGATAGAGGATAGAGTAGTAGAATTGGAGTTAGAAGGACTTGGGTCCATAATACCCCTCATATACTTACTAACTGTGTAACCTTGGGCAAGTCACTTTAAATTTCTTTAAGTTTTGGTTTTCCAGTCTGTAAAATAGGGATTAAAAAATAGCACTTCACAAGGTGGCTGTGAGAATAAAATGAGATTTTAAAGCAATATGTAAATATAAGCTATTTATTTTGCAATAGTTATCTAGAATCCGGACAGGTAGGTGGCGCAGTGGATAGAGCTCTGGCCTTGGAGTCAGGAGGACCCGAGTTCAAATGTGATCTCACTAGCTGTGTGACCCTGGGCAAGTCACTTAATCCCCCGATTGTCTCACCCAAATTTTAAAAAAAAAATAGTTATCTTAAAAAGGACTTTAAATTGTAGTTGGGGTTGAGGGGGCAGGAGCAGTGTTTCCAGCCAGCTAATCCCAATGACAACACATTAGAAAATTCCACAAACTAACTGTTTGTCAACTCACTTGAATATGAAAAATCAATGTTGATACTTAGAATAAAAGTTAGAAGACAGACATACAAAAAGACAATTATATTGATGTTACCCTAAAAAAATTAAGTTCTGTTTGGTTACCCAAGTGATGCTAAGTGAAGTTTTTGAGCTGAGTCTTTCAGAATTACTGTAAAATGTTCCCCTAATAGAGTGGGCTGTGGTCAGCCTGCTTTTCACTTTGTCAAGTATAAAACTAGAGTTCAAATAGTTTTCTTTGGCTAAAGCAATTAGGTGAAGATGGAAGACCTTAAATCCTTTGTGTTGTTGTTAGTCTTTCATTCTCAAAGAGGACCAATGACATTACGAGAATGAAGTCTTGATTTGTATGTGAATTGGATTTAAGTGAGGCAGAATTGTGCAAAGTCATCAGCCTCCCTCCTCCAGAGTCATCAGAATCTTGTGGCAAGACAAAAGTCAAGACAACTGGTGATGGCCTACCCCTTGAATTTATACATTATCACGACTGCTTGAAGGAATTTGGGCTAATTAACCTGGAGAAGAAAAAAAAATTAGTGTTGAGTGTAAAAGTTCTTGTCATATACTTTAGAGACTATCGTGCCAAAAAAAAAAAGTGTGACTTGTTATGCTGTTCATGAGGACATAACTAGGAGGGATGGGTATGTTAGAGAAATACAAAAGAAAGTACTAAGTAAGGTATGAGCAGAAAGGTAAGAGGAGAATTCAATGGAGAAAAAAAACATATTTTAAGGAAACAAACCTTAACAGTTTAGTGCTATCCAGAAGTGGAATGAGCTGCCATGGTAGGTGAAAGGTTCCTCTTCACTTATCCTTAAGATAAGCTTGGATAGCTGCTTACGAATATAGTAAGGGAAACTCCTTTATGGGTACAGGATAGGTGGTCTCCATTTTATGATTCTGTGAGTCACTATTATTATTATTATTATAGATTTCATTGGATTGTACTGTATTCTTATAAAACACTTTATAAACGTTAATATCTTTTATTCTTCTAACAACCTTCTGAGGTAGGTAGTACAAATAGTACTCCTGTTTACAGATAAAGCAACTGAGTGAGCCTGAGGGATTAAGTGAAAGGTCACTTAATAAATAAGTGGTAACTATGGCACCCACTCAAAAATCCAGGGATTTTCCTGCTATTCCATGTGGTCTGGGAAGGTCTTCCTAAGTAAATGCATTATTATGTCTTCTGCACAATTCATTTTTACTGGCCTTCAGTAATGATACTACAAATGTTGGAATCATGACTAACAATAGATAAAGTGCAAAGTTCAAACTAGAAAATTAAGCATAAAAAGTAGATGGTTGCTTTCCATCTTTGAAATAACACCCAACCTCAGTAAGCTCTGTGTAAGTTGCAAAGGAAAGTATTTAAAATAATGAAGAATTCAAGAAAATATGCAGGTAGTCAAACTGGCTCAGAGAAACTGTATTCTTCATGTCAAATTAGTAAATTGGTGATCATTTATGGGGAAATATTTTTTTTTCCTAATAAAATGTTTTCAAGTGCTAATTCCTTTATTTTGATAGCATATTATATGCTGACATTGTTGGATTCACCCGTCTGGCTAGTGACTGCTCTCCAGGGGAACTAGTGCACATGCTGAATGAACTCTTTGGAAAGTTTGATCAAATTGCCAAGGTGAGTCACTAATGGGAAGCACCCTCTGCTTCATTGACTTACCCCTGCTCCATCTTTTTAAAAGTTTACCTTTTCAGAAAAATGCTGGCCATGAATCCATTTGTAAGTAAACAAACCACCTTATTATTACACTCTTTCTTCTAGAGATCTATTGCATGCCTCTGCAGTGATGAATATCATTTTCTTAGCTAGCACAGCATGAAATTATATTTCAGCATACATCAATGGTAACCAATACTGGCACCCTGCAACAAAGTTTTGTGTTGTTTTTCATGAATTGATCCAATCTCACAGAATGATACTAAAAATGAAATCAAGTGTAAACAATGGGTGGGGAAGAGGAAATAAGAGGGAAAATGGGGAAGGAGAAAGATAATAGATTTCAAACAAATACACATTTGTGAGAAACTAGAAATTAGTTAACTACTTCTTGCTGTACTTCAATAAATCAAGAATCTGGTTTCTTCAACTGATCCAGAGCCTGGTAATTATTATGACTTAGGACACTACTGGAAGCTTGAATTGAAGTGAATTGTTATACTTCATACCAAAAAAAACGCATGTGTTTTGAAGTGTCATTTTAATCCAATTAAGTGCACCACAGGTAGCTAAGTGGTACAGCAAATAGAGTGCTGGGTACAGAGTCAGGAAGACCTGAGCTCAAATGCAGCTGTAGACACTTACAAGCTGTATGCCCTTGGCAAGTCACTTAATCTCTGTCTGTCACAATATAGTATAGTATAACCTTTCTTTAGCACCTACTCTAGAACCTACCTTCTGAACTTGGCACTCACAGGTCACAAGTTGAGATCCTCTAGATGTTGTAAGGACCAAATGAGATAACATTTGTGAAGTGCTTTACAATCCTTAAAACACTATGTAAGTGCTAGCTATTATCATCTGTTTCCCAAAAGTAAGAACTAATTAGTCTATCTGTGTTTTACTGCCTATGAAGGATTTGTTTCAGAATAATCTATATGCTTTTTACAAGTCAAGAAGCTAGGGATATGGTACTCTTATCCAAACCCTCCTTGGTTTGGCAGCTGTTAACACTTTCATGTACAGAGCTCATCAAGAACTTCCCTTTGAAAAACTATGAAGTAATACTCAAATCCACTCACATTCCTTTATTTACCACTGTCTCATTTGACTGCTTTCCTACCTGCCAAAAGAGAATGAGAAACCAAGTATCAGCAGGGACATAAAACTCACTTTCAAGCAATTATGATTTCACTTGTAGTGGTACTCTTTCCTTCAGTGTAGACAATTTGAGATGTGTGAGATGATGTCTCAAAGCTGTTTAAATTTGTATTTCTCTAATCAATACTGACGTAGAGCATTTTTTAATGACTATTATTTATAACTCTGATTTCTTCACCCAAAAACCGCTTGTTCATATCCTTTGACCATTTATCAATTGGGAAATTATTCATATTCTCATAAATTTGACAAAACTTCTATATAGTTGAGATATGAGACATTTATCCAAAAAATTGTCTATAAAATTCCCCCATTTTTCTGCTTTTCTTCTAATTTTTGCTACATTGGTTTTATTTTTACAAAACCTTTTTAATTTAATATAATCAAAATTTTTCATTTAACATCTCACAGTACTCTTGCTTATTTACAAATTCTTCTCCTAGTCATAAGTCTGATAGATAACATGTCCCATGTTCTTTTAACTTACTTATGATGTCTCCTTTTATGTCTACGTCATGTATTCATTTTGACTTTATCTTGGTAAATGGTATAAGCTGTTGCTCTATACCTAGTTTCTGCCAGACTGCTTTCCCTTTCCCAACAATTTTTACCAGATAGTGAATTCTTATCCCAAAAGCTTAAATTTTTACATTTGTCAAACACAAGGTTACTATAATCATTTACTGTGTATCATATATATACTGTGTTCCACTGAATTACCTTTCTATTTTTTAGCCAATACCAAATAGTTTTGATAATTACCACCTTATAATACCGTTTAAGATTTGTTATTGCTAAACCTCCTTCCTTTACATTTTTTTCAATAATTCCTTTGATATTCTTGACCTTTCATACTTCCAAATTAATTTTATTATTTTTTTCTAGTAATTCATTGTTAATGACGAAATTAAAATGGAAAGTATCTCAAGCAAACAAGAGCTTAGTACATTGAGTTTAATGCAAACTTTATGGAAAATTAATTCATTTGCTATATTTTTATGAATTTCATGTTCTATTGAGATTCAGAATCTGTGTTTATAAATTAGCAGAGGGAGGCCTTATTAAGAGATAATTGCTTTCTTACACTGGATTAAAATAATGTTATCAGGCATTGTTAAACACAAAATTTATATTGTCTGAAGTAGACATCAAAATAAGGACTAGGTTCTATTTTTATTTTCTGAAAGAAGAAAATGGGTATACTGGGCAGACTAATTCAGATTTAAAATTGGATTTAAAATAAATTTGGCTTTTTCTTTCCCCTTTTATGAATATGTGTGTGCATAAACTTTTATGAGGAAATCTAAGTTTATTTCCTATAGCCATTTTTTTTGAATTTTATTTATGTTATGGTAATGCATACAAATAGTAGAAACTCCTTAATGGAAAGTTAGAAATGAGAGGAGGGAGGGTTGTATTGAAAACTATAGGAAGGGTCAGGCCAGAGTCTATTGATCTAATAGAATTTAATTCTTTTAGTTCTTTTTTTTTATTTTATACACCAGCTTCTGAGAAAGCACAGAACTCTAGATTATTCTGCCCACTCTCCTGCTGTCCTTTTATCTACATACCTTCTTCTTCTTCTTTCCCAAAATGGGTGAATGAGTGAGAAACAGTAATAAAAAATCATTCTGGCTTGATTTTTTTTTTCGCCTCAAGTATAGATGACTATACATTATTTTCAGTAAGAACAAAACCCTTCATATTACATAAATGTAAATATCATATACCCTTGTGCAAGGTCTTCATGCTGCTTGTCTCTTTTTTTCTTTCAGGAAAATGAATGTATGAGAATCAAAATTTTAGGAGACTGCTACTACTGTGTGTCTGGCCTCCCTATATCTCTTCCAAACCATGCCAAGAATTGTGTGAAAATGGGACTAGATATGTGTGAAGCCATAAAGTAGGTACAAAGAAAATGTTTACTCTTAAAATTAAAATAACCTAAAAATTTCATCCTTGGATATATTGTTTCTTTACAATAGTAATAAGTACATCTTAAGAGTTCAGCATTATTTGTGATAATAAGGCTAGAAAGAAAATGTGTTCATCACAATCACAGGACAATGACTAAATAAATTAAGGTCTATTAACATAATGGATACTAATTCAGAGAAACATGGGGAAAACTTCATAAACTTCATGAAGTGATGCAGAATGGAGAAAGTTGAGGTAAAATAATAATGCATGTGATTACCACAACAATATAAATCAAACCAGCTTGGAAAGACAGCATTCAATGTTTGTACCATGCTGCTCAAGCTCACCTTTCTGTTAAAAATCCATAGACCTTTTTTTTTTTTCCTTAGGGAATGTATGGAATGTAGAATGGATTTTTTCAGTGATTGTTGGGAAGTATCTTGTGTCAAAATAAAATATTCATCTTTTTAAGAAACATGGAATCATAAAACATTAAAGCTGTAACCTTAGGTTACTTCTAGTCCAAACCATTCACGTTACATACAAGGAAAAATTTATCAGTATATTTCCATCTTTTAACACTTTTAGAAGGCAAAGAACATAACAGTAAGATCATGGGAATAAGAACTAGAAGGAACCTTAAGAAGGAACTTTGTCTCTAGTCTAAATCCTTCATTCAGCAATTAAGAAAATTTCGGCCTACTCTGAGGTAGCTATGTATCACAGTGGCTACAGCTCTAGCCCTGGAGTTAGTAAGACCTGAATTCAAATCCAGCCTCAGACACTTACTTGCTGGGTGAGCTTGGGAAGTCACTTAACCTCTGCTTGCCTAAATTTAGTACTATTACAAATCTCACTGGGTTGTTGTGTAAGTCACTTAGCACAGTACCTGGAATATAGTAGGTACTATATAGATGCTAGCTATTATTATTATTATTATCATTATTATTATTAAATTCACTGGCCCTTTGGTGGAGGGGGGACAAAACATTTAGTTTATTAATTATATGAGTTAAGAATAGCAACTTATCATTTTTCATGTTGCTATTGGGCATAATGTTTATTTTCTTCCTCAAATATTTTCACTCTCATATAGAAGTAATAATTATGTTTGTGCATCCTAATCCTCTACACTCCTCTGTTAGTGATTTTTAAAAAATTGAGTAAGCCATGTGTGAAGATGTCAGCATATACATCTCTCTCTATATGTATATATACATACATATAGATCCATATATATATTAATAGAACCATATATAAAGAGAGAGCTCCAGGAAATGGCATAAAGTGAGATGAGTAGTGATTGATAGATATTTATAAATTAGTTTCAGAATGAAACTTTCTTTGGGCAAGTCACTTACCTTTTCAAGTGTCACAATAAGACAATATTGGTATGGGGAAGAAGGAACAAGAGATAGTTTCAGTCTAACAGGTAACTTTTCTAATCAATCCTCACAGGATTATAGAAGCCTTGCTTTCTAACTTACTGCTAGTTTCCATACCTTTCTATCAGGAAAACTCAGTTCACCAGCACCATAGGAGATATAGGAGGAAATAGAAAAGAAGCAAAGTGGGAAAAGAAAGAGCTGACTAGAGGAAGAAGAGGGAATATTAATTCACTCTCTAATTCCTGTCACTAGCAAGCACCTGAAAACACCTTGCTTCTTCACGAAATTTAACCCTTTAATTTACCTAAAGTCAAAATGTCTGCTTTATGGGGGGGGGGAAGGTTTCTTTAGCAGGGTATCCTGCTTCTTTCTGGGTTGAACTTGAGGAGTGTTCTTCAGTCCCAAAAGGAACTTTGCTGTGATTATTAGATTGAATAGAAAGGGAAAATAAAGTGGAGGAGGAAGAAAGCCTTCATTACTGAAGGAATATTTTCCCCTTGAATGTCTTTTCAAAATCAGGTGGGAAAGAATCTTCAAAGGAGAAAGTATGCAGGTAAATATTCTTTTTTCTTATCCACTCCACAGGTTCTCCCAGGGTAATTATATTACAGTTATTTCTACATATTGATGAACTCAGGAAAATTAAACTAGAATTCTTTCATTAAGTCATGTATTTCAGAAATATACCTCATATAACTCTGATCAGAAATCTTGATGAATTAAATACAGTGAGAAAAAGTGGAAAACATACCCAGGCTTGGAGTATGTCCATTGACTCTTTAAGCAAAGTTGAAGATAACTGTTTCTTTGTGCGCTGATCAGGGTACTACATTTTCCAAAACAAAAAATAGTGAGAATGGCATTGTTTTGAGTATTTTGCAAAACTGTTTAATGTCTACCTTAATGTAGGGTTCTCATATCTGCCTCTATATTCAATCTTTAAAAATATGTTGCTTTGATTGAAGTATATGAAGAAAATTTGGACTCACACAGATATATAATTAGACAAAAGGAGATGTGTTCAATTAGACAAATAATGTTTTAGTATTTATATGGTAATAATTTTTACCTTGGGGACCACAGGTATCCTTGGACTACCCTCTGAGAACTGCTGCTTTAATGGAATAGAGGAACTTAGAAGCCATTCAGATGAATATGCAAGAACTAAACAGGAACCATGAAAACAATTATACAACAATATTGTAAAGAAAAACAATTTTGATAGATTTTTAACAGTTCTAATCAAATAAATGGCCAATAATGTCTCCAGAGGATCTTTGATGAAGTGTTTGTGGCAGGGGGTCAAGGGGACATGTCAGAGTTAGCAAAAATGATGCCACTGGAACATGCTTTGTTTTGTTTTAATGCATAGAAGAGAATAGAAGGAAGTTCTGAAGGAAATACAGACAAATAGAACAGTTTTGAAGGTAGCATTTAGAATGTATTGTATTAAAACAAAACAAGAAGCATAAAATGGAAATATTTGGTTTCACATAAAATCCTCATTCATATTCTGTATTTCAAAAAAACAGCTGATTTGGTTACTCAGATTAATCAAAATATTTCTAATCCTTTCTCCTCCTCATGCCTCTTCTTTTTCCCAAAATGATCACTGCCCTATTCTTGTCCTTTAATCAAGATAATTTGCAAACTAGTATGGATACTGTTATATTGTTCTTTGCTCTGCCCTTCCTTAAAGTACCTAGTCTCTGCCTTTCACTTAACCTCTGTTACAGGGAAGAATACAACGTGTTTCCTTTTTGTTCCCTAGCAGTTGTCTTGTACAACATAATTCAGTTGGTGACAGCATTATTTTTAAACTATATGAAAAAAAATGTGATAGAATGTCAGCTGATTTGTTGGGGATGGGAAAGAAAATCTACTTTACCCATTTTATACAAGTCTTTTCTTCTGTTTAGGAAAGTAAGAGATGCAACTGGAGTTGATATCAACATGCGTGTGGGAGTACACTCTGGGAATGTCCTCTGTGGTGTAATTGGTTTGCAGAAGTGGCAATATGATGTCTGGTCTCATGATGTTACACTAGCAAATCACATGGAAGCTGGAGGTGTTCCAGGGTATGGCAAATCGACTGCATTCATTACTTAAATCCTCATTCTTGACCTGGTTCTTATTTGACATAATCCTTACTCCAACATATATTTATAAGTTAATAAATAGATGTTAATTATTATATCTGATGACCTACTTGGTTTAGTCATTTGTCCTTTATCAGAAAACTAAGATGGATAAAAACTTGAATTTGATTCCCAATGTGTTAATATCATTTTCCCCAACATAATTTTTGATCATTGAAAAGAAAAAAAAACATGCTTTGTATGCAGTTCAGTGCACATCCTGCATAAAAATACTTTTACATAAGTTTCATCAAAAATCTGCATGCCTGAAGTAGAACTGGATATAATCAAAATTTTCAGCTGGTGCAAAGATCCAAATTAAATCTCCTTTTTTCTGTATGTGGCAGAGAGCACTTCAGTACTAGTCCCTACTGCTGCTGAAATAGACATCACAAGCTGTCACACTCTGGACATACCAAGCCTTTCATTCACATTCACTTCTTGCCTATACACATAGCTTTTCTTTCACCATTAAAATGGGAAAATATTTGTCAAAGTAAAAATAATTTTAACACCACACACCACCAAGATAACTTTTATATTGTCCTGATCAGGTTTAAAAATATAATTGCAGGCGTGTTCACATTACTTCAGTTACCTTAGAACACTTGAATGGAGCTTACAAAGTAGAAGAAGGAGATGGAGATATCAGAGACCCATATCTGAAGGAACATTATGTCAAAACCTATTTTGTGATCAATCCCAAGGTTAGTATTGATATGAAAAGTCTGTGGATGATTTTGAAACTATTATTTCTGAGATAAAACTGTCAGAATTGTAAAGATTTCAATAATTTTGTAAGGTATATATACCAGTAGTAAAGTCCTAAGAATATAGAAGGCTGTCGCCAAATATTTATGCAGCTGAGTTCGATATTTCATGTTTATCAGCCCACAGTTTTATCTTTTTAATTTTTATAAAATTGTGTTGGAAAAAAAAGTTGTTTTGGAGTCACTGCACACAAGCACAATCAACAGGACTAAGTTGAAATTGGTACTGAGTTTCTGTAGATATATGCATTAAAGGTGGCTTTGAAGCATCTGTTAATCTTTATTAATTATTCACAATATATATTAATGGACATTGATGGCTTTAATAAATTGACATCTATTCATCCATCAACACTTCTTAATTATCTACAATGTGCAAAGCGCTGGGATACAAAGATAGGTACACCATAGATCCTGGTCTAAAGGAAGTTAATGGGGCAGAGGTAGATGTAAACCAATAATTGTGATACAATGGAGAATATGAATAATTTATAATGGTGAATTTGTGTTCTGTAGAATTTAAAAAAAAACAGTAGTGTTTTAGAAATGGTCATACCAAATGGGCTAAAAAAATGTATTATTATTTTGGTACTTAAAAGGATACTTTTCAGTTTCCTGGAAACTTTCTTTATCCAAAACATCTAACTTCCTAAAGATTTTAGATAAATTATGTTTTAATGTATCTAACTGTTGAAAGTAGGCTAAGTAAACTGATTAGAAGTAGATTTATTTAAGTATGGTTTTATGGAGATGATGTGTTTTCAGCTGGGATTTAAAAGACATATTATGTAGTATAAAATATATGTATATAGATAGATTTGAGCAAAGAAGATAGAGGTATAGACAGATTTATTTATTAAGAAATTCAGTCTTTAAAAAACCAAACCTTGTAGAGCAGCTAGGTGGCGCAGTGGGTAGAGCACCAGCCCTGAAGTCAGGAGTTCCCCAGTTCAAAATCAGCCTCAGATCAAACACTTGACACTAGCTATGTGACCCTAGGCAAGTCACTTAAGCCCAATTGCCTAAAAAAAAAAGCATTAAAAAAAACCTTGTGAAAGTCATTATATATACTATAGTATGCAAATGAAGCTAATGCTTTGAATGTCCAAAGTGCCTGCTACTTTGTTTTTTGCAACCAGGGAGAAAGACGAAGTCCTCAGCACCTCTTTAGACCCAGGCATACATTAGATGGAGCCAAGATGAGAGCATCTGTCCGCATGACCCGGTACTTGGAATCCTGGGGAGCAGCCAAGCCCTTTGCACACTTACATCACAGGGACAGCATGACAACAGAAAATGGCAAGATCAGTACCACAGTATGGACTTTTTTATGTCACTTCAAGTAGCATAATTGTGAAAGGAAAATATATTTTCCCAGTAATACATGTTCCACCATTCTTTGACATGTAAACTACAGTCTATGTAAAACATTTTTAGTTTCCTTTTCCAAAGAGATCATTACAGATGGGTAATTTGTGAGTTAACATCAACTCCTGCACTCTATGAGTTTTGTTCTTCCATGACTTTAGTTTCTAAATCCAAATGGTCTCAACTTTGTTATTTTTTTATAATGACACTGAATCATTTTAGACTGAACAGAGCAACTAATTCTCACTCTCATATGGACCAAGTGGTAGGTAATCTTATGCATCTCAGTAAAAGGAACAAAAGGCATGAAGCCATTTGTATCTAAGCAATATCGTGGTACTATATTTTCATTACCAGTATCAAACAAGCCTCATTACCAAAAACTTTTCCAAATACATAGCATAAACATACATACATATATAGATGTATATGTACATATACATCTATATATACTCATTTATCCATATACTGCAATTTATGCATATCTTTTATATATTTGTATATATTAATAAATCACCTGTGGACTTTTAACATTAATTTTATAGGACTAATTCAATGAGCATTTAATAACCTAACCTGTTCAAAGTACTAATGCCATATGTTAAAAGCAATTTATAGATTGTTGAATTTTCTAATCTAATTTAAAAAAAGGCTGTACATTTTTGGCATGACATCTCATATTATCAAAGTGGCTCTTGTAGGCCAAAGTCATTTTCCCCATAAAATAGTGGTCTCTTTGCTGTTACATAAGAGCAATATGCTCCCCACACTGTCATTTCTTGGCTTCAATTAATCTGTGCAATGGAACAGGATAGTCAATTTCTATTGAATAACTGAGTCAGCTAACTTCGGTTTCATAAGAAGTTACAAGGTTTTACTCACGAGACACTATTTTTTACTTGGCACAGATCTAACAAAAGACTGTAATGTTAACTTATCCCATTTGGTCCTGCTCATGGTGTGCTCTGTATCCTCATTTGTATTCTATCATTTGCATGGGCTTGTTTATTTTTTTCTTGAAGTCTTATTGAACTGTTTTGTAGTCAACACCCGTTGCCAAACCTGTTCTTCGGCAAATTTTCAGAATGTATTATGTATTTATGTTTTAGGTTTGAAAAGTATTTTCATTTTAAACCAAATCCTTTAAATATCTGTTTAACCACAAACCTAATACAATTCCAGTGAGATTTAATCTGACCATTGCTGTAGAAATCAATTGCTTGGGACCAAACCTAAAAACACCCAGATGAAATGGAAAAAAAGGTGTAAAACTATCCGAATGTTTCTTATGATCCAGATGTTTGCAATTATATAGACAAAACATGGAGGAAATTCATTGCATTTTTCACTTTTCATTCGGCTGTCATAGTGCCATGTAGACAATTTTGAAGGATGAGAGTCTAATTGTCTATAAGAATTTTTTTTTAGCTATCTTCAGCTTCCATTGTGAAAGTAGATGGCTATGTAGTGTGTATGTTGTTGTTTCACAAATTATCTTGTCTCATAATCTTTGACTAATAAATATTCTTATTTTTTCCTTCAGGATGTGCCAATGGGTCAGCATCACTTTCAGCACCGCACATTAAGGTACATCTTACAGTACTGAATAAGTATAAATGTACTGCTCTCATATCTCTGGAAGGTATAATCTATTGTCATCATTTTTTTAAAAAAGCTGATTCTTTAAAGAAATAAACCTTTTGGATTGCTTTCAGTTCTGAAAACAAAATAACATAGGTTAATATCATTTGAATGAGGAAATGATATCCCATTATAAAACTCCATTGGATATACAAATTGTTTTGTTGAATAGTTATGTTGGAATGCATCCATGATAACACATTTCTTCTTTCTAATATTAACAGAGATTAATTCTAGTTCATCTTGTGTGTATACATACAATATGTGCATATATATATATACATATATATACACACACATATACATTATATAATGTATATACCATATTTGCACAATATCTATATATAATATATGTATTATATATGTATATGTGTATATATGTGTATATATGTTTGTGTGTAAGGGCATGTGTGTATGGAGAGAGAGGGAGAGGGAGAGAGAGAGAGAGAGAGAGAGAGAGAGAGAGAGAGAGAGAGAGAGAGAGAGAGAGAGAGAGAACATAGTTATATGCTGTCTTCCCCATTGGATTATGAGCTTCTTGAAGGCAGGGACTGTTTTTTGCCTTTCTTTGTCAGCACTTAGCACAGTATGTCACAAACAGTAGGCACAAAATGAATGCTTGTTGACTTTTACTCTAAAGAATCTTCTGATAAAGCAGAACCCAATCCCATTGAATTTTGTCCCACAGAATTTTCTGCCCATAGAATTAAGACAAGTAATGTTTCATTTTTGTCTTTGTATCTCTGGAGCTTGGTGGAGTGCTCAGTAACTTCCTCTGCATCGTCATCCTACCATCAAAGCTTTTCTTCCTCCAAATCCTGATTACTTTCATGTGTTTTGTTTTAATAGATAATTGAGAATAAAGAGCTATTTGTGTATGTACCCACATGTGTGCACATGTCCATGTATATGTTTTATTTAGGTGAGTGGGATGTATCAAAGCATGAAAGAAAATCCTTCATTCTTAAATGGTGATTGGCAACTAAAAAGCAGAACCAAAACACAATTTCCTTCCCATTCATGATGCAAATAAAATGCAAATGCTTCCATTATGGAAAATAACATATGTAACACATAGAAATATATATTATCATACCATGTAGAAAATTAGTTATAATTGGTACCTTTTTTAAAAATGGCACTTGCTAGAATATTGAACTACTAGAAGCTAAGAAATGTATATATATCTAAAGCAGAAACTTTGGAGATTGTTTTTGTTTAAAGAAAATAGGTAGTGATGAAACTGAGGAAAATCTTGATGAGGGAAAAGGACAAAGATAGATTGATAAAATTATTTTCTCTAAGACTATTGAAATAAATGATAAAAACAAATTCATAAATGTTTCATAAAAGAATAAAACATTTCTCCATTTAACTAATAGCGATGTTGCAAATCTGTAAATACTGGCAAATTTTATATTAACACTTCAATCTGCACTATAAATTTTAATTCTAATTACATGGCAAAGGGGTATATCCATTCAGTAACCAAATACTTAGTCAATTTACAGAGAATCAGGACATTTACTTTCACAATCACTAGAGTCCTCACTAATACTGCCACTTAATGTATGTAAAAATTAAGAAATGCTAATGAAAACTGCTTTTTAAAGGCATTCTGCTAGAGGGTCTTTAGCTTAATTCAAATGAGCAATTCTAAAGTCCAAGTTTTCCTGCTGTGAATCATTCACATAATAGTTGTCAATGAACACTTTCAAAAAACTCAGTTTTTAATTTTTAATGTGTTGAGTACTTTATAAAAACATGTTTTAATTGCAAGGTTGTTTACTCCCCAGTTCAGGCTATTAAATAGGGAATTATTTCTGAATAGACCTGAAAGAAAAGCTTTCTCAGACTATCTGAAATTCACATTTCTGGGTTTTGGGGGAAATTGGCTTGGACTTGTTTTTTCATCAGTGTGAAAAACTCCCACAGGCTATTTAAGATAGTTGTTTGGGAAGTTAAGTGATTTGCCCGTGATATTAAAGTTAGTAAGCTTCAGAGGCAGGATTTGAAGCCAAGTCTTCCCAACTCCAAAGCTAGCTCATCCTCTATCTATCATGTGATGTTGTTCCTCTCAGGTTAGGATTGAAGATATCTAAAATAAGAACCTACCTATGTAATCTCTCTGAAAATTCAACCAGTGAATAATGAACAAGATCAGTCAGTCAAACTCACCCCAAATTTGTAAGAAGTTTCTAATTATTGTTCATATAAAAATCAGATTTCTCTTAACAAATAAAGTTGTTGTGCCAATCAGGGAAATATAAATCTTTTACAGAAGTGAGTTCTAATATGTGATCAAAACGTCTCTCAATTTGTACATTTTCTGCAAACCTTCCAAAGCATTGCCTTTTAGTTTTGTTATTTAATACACAACATCAGTTGTTACATCTTCAATTGAGATATATGGGGTATGTACTAAGACCAATTGTTTATTATTGTTGTTCAGTCATTTTCAGTCATGTCCAACTCTTATTGATCCCATTTAGGGTTTTCTTGGTGAAGATACTGGAGGAATTTGTCATTTTCTTCTCCACCAAGACCAGACTATCCACTAAATTCAATAAGCCTTGATGTTTGTACAGTGTTGACAAAATATCATTAACGATCAACAACATTTCTTCATGAAACTGAACAAGTGTTTTGGCATCATGTAACAAAGTCAGGATAGTTATTCTTAAATATTTATTCCTCAACGATGCTTCTTTTTCCTCTAGAACCAAATCACAGAAGAAAAGATTTGAAGAAGAATTGAATGAAAGGATGATTCAGGCAATCGATGGAATCAATGCTCAGAAGTATGTTGCCATATTTTAAGAATTGTACATATTGCTCATCTTCTTTTCCCATGCCTGTTTTTCTTTAGTCAGACAGAAATTATATGCTTTTGTCTTTTTGTTGATATTGCTATTTTTCTAAATATTTTCATTTGTCCTCCATTTATCATTATCCCTTGGGAATATTTGCCCTTACAAAGTTATACTTTGTGTGTCCCATGCCATGGATTTCTCCCCTGCAAATAACATCTTACATCTTGTTCTTTTAGTGTTTTGATTTCTCCTTACAAAACATGCTTTGCTGTAAGTGTGTCACTGATGAGGAATAAGAAAAGTCAACAAGGAAATATTATCAGATTGGTAGGGATTATTTGAAAATTTAAAAAATGTTATTCATCTGAAGCCATATTTTTTTAATGCTTGCATCTATATAGGAGGTAATATAGGCCTCAATGGCTGATTGCAAGCCATCCTATTTAGAAATTGCCAGTTCAGAAGCTAAAGAGAAAAGCAGCCAAAATCAAAGAAGAGGAAAAAAAGACAAGAAAAATTATCAGTTACATGTGTGGAGATTGAACTGGTTCACAGCAGTAAGACGAGGTGGCTGGGTGGAGGAGTGAAAACAACATTTATCATATGTAACAATTTATCAAAAATTGACTAGCCCAGCAAAGCCTCATTACTCCCTGCTAACCAATGAAGAGGCTACACATTTGCCCAGGGTGGAAAGAATAATGTATCACTCCAATGGCTCAACCAACTTCGTGGTTTTTGTTCAGTTGTTCAGTCATGTCCAACTCCTCCTGACCTCTTAGATTATAGTGTGCCTCCACCATTTTCCATTATCTCCTGAAGTCTGTCCAGCCTCATGTTCATTACTTCTGTGACACTATCTATCCATCTCATTTCCTGCAGTCCCCTATTCCTTTTGCCTTCAATCTTAATATCGGGCACTTTTCCAATGAGCACTGCTTTCTCATTATGTGGCCAAGTGTTTAAGATTCAGCCTTAGTATTTGACCTTCCAGTGATAGTCTGAATTAACTTCTTTAAGTATTTATTGAATGAACTGATCTCTTTGCTGTCCAAGGAACTCTCAAAAGTCTTCTCCAGCACCACAATTCAAAAGTGTGTGTTCTGTGGAACTCAGCCTTCCCTACAGTTCAACTCTCACAGCCATATATTACTACTGGAAAAAAAAAACATAGTTTGACTATACAGAACTTTGTTGACAAGGGAATGTCTCTACTTTTTAGTATGCCATCCAAATTTGCCCTAACTTTCCTTCCAAGGAGCAAGTGTCTTTTAATTTCATGGCTGTAGTTGCCATCTGTAGGCATCGTTAAGCCCAAGAATATAAAATCTGACACTGCTTCCATTTCTTATCCCTCTATTTGCCAGGAAGTGATGGACCAGTTGCCATGATCTTAGTTTCTTTGAAGCTAAACTTCGGGCCAGCTTTTGCACTCTCCTCTTTCACTCTTATCAGGAGACTTCTTAATTCCTCTTCACTTTCTGCCATTACAGTGGTACTATCTGAATATCAGAGACTGTTTATATTTCCCTCAACAATCTTAATTCTGGCTTTTGATTCATCCAGCCTGTATTTCACATGATGTACTTTGCACATGAGTTAAATAAATAAGGTGACAATATACAGCCTTGTTGCTGATCTTAAACCAATCTGTTCCATGTGTGGTTCTAACTGTTGCTTCTTGACCCACATAGAGGTTCATCAGGAGACAAATAAAATGATCTAGTACTCCCATTTCTTTGAGGACTTCCCACATTTTGTTTTGATCCATACAAAGGCTTTAGTTTAGTCAATGAAGCAGAAGTAGATGTTCTTGTTTGTTTGTTTGTTTTCTGGAACTGCCTCGTTTCCTCATTTTCTCCATAACCCAACAAATACTGGCAATTTGGCCTCTGTTTCCTCTGCCTCTTCAAAAACCAGCCAAATTCGGTAATTCACAGTTTCCATATTGCTGAAGCCTAGCTTACAGAATCTTAAGCATAGCCTTGCTGGTGTGTGAAATGAGCACAATCGTTCAGTAAAGTGAACCTTCTTTGGCATTGCGCTTCTTTAGGCTTGGGATGTAAACTGACCTTTTCCAGTCCAGTAGCAACTGTTGAGTTTTCCAAATGTTCTGGCATGTTGAGTGGATAACTTTAACGCCAACATCTTTTAGGATTTTAAATAGCTCATTTGGGATTCTGTCACCTCCTCTAGCCTTATTGTTAGTAATGCTTCCCAAGGCCCATTTGACTTCATTCTCCAAGATTTCTGGGTCAAGAACAGTAAGAGCTAATTTTGTCTGTAGCATCAACTTTAAATACAAAGGTCAACTGAGCATAGCAAAATTCTCAAGGCTTATTCATTCCTTACTATATCATATTTTTCAAGTTAGTTGAAACTAGAAAAGTATGAAGGAATAATGAAAAATCTTCTATCTTCACAATTTTAATCAGAACGCTGTTAAACCTCATAGGATACACTATTGAGTAGATGCACCATCTCATAGAGTTGCTCTATATGATTTCTTTGAGTCACTTAATTGCCAAAAAAAAATTTAAATATATGGTTCTGATAAAAGACTGGTGTATATGATATGGAGGGCAGAATTTATTCAATGAACCATAGACAAGAATAACTACTACCTGGTACTGTAGAGAATGAAATGAAACATCAGAAGAATATGAATGTCTCCAATTTCACTGGCTGGCTCCTTGAAGATAAAAGAACAAATCAAAACTACACAGGCAGCATAAATATGTCTTAATATAGACAATGCAAGCATCTACCTTCTTAAAGTTTTGGAATGTTTATACTAATGACTGTAATTAGAAAATAAGATAATTAGAAATATGGCTTTGCTTTGTTTTTGTGGTAACTGCTTTCAAAGTCTGTTTGCTTTGTTCCATTTAATATGCTAATGTATGTCAGTTAATATTTGCAAGTTACAATGTGTTCTTATTCCATAATGGATATTCAATGTTAGAATGAAGAGTGTTTATGTTTCAATTTCCCAATTAAGCTCCACAAATCAAATAGAAAACCAGATATTGCACAGTCATCGAATAAGGAAAGAGAAATCAATAAAATGGAAACTTCTGTGGATATTTCTCAAATTAGGTTCAATTATATTCTATTACTGCTTGAAGAATTTTTAACTTCCCTTGTCCTTTTACATAACTGTTCTGATTTTACTTGTATTTTCTCATCTGGGAATTCATGAATATCTTTTTCAGTGAGAACCTTATGCTATGTGTACAGAAGATCAAAAACGTGGCTTGAAAAGTGAGAAAGTATATCATCCAGATGTTTTATCTACATAGTACAAAAAAACAGATGTTTGCAAGCACACTCTGTGAGACCACACATTTTACTGATGACAAACACTCTACTACTATAATCATATACAGGGGTTTTTGACCTTCAGACAATTCTCAGCTCATGTGACATTACTCTGATCTAATTCAGAAAAATATATTTGTTAAATTATATTATGACACTATCCCATTTCTAGAATTTCTACAGTTCAAATCCTATTACCATAAAACTCTAGGGACTGTACAAATTACTTAAATGTACTAATTTTTTTCCAAGTAATACTTGAAATAGGAAGTAGCTGTGATATAAAAGAACTGACTGTGGAATCAAGAAAATGTGTATCCTAGTCCCACCAATGACACACACTGTGTGACTAAAGGCAGGTCATTTAACCTCTCAAAACTTCTATTCAACTCTGAAAGTGTAATTTGCAGAATAACTGTTAATCACTTTGTGAGAGGTAGCTTCTTTAACTGGTGGAATTCTCTATATTAAAGAAATCACAGACCTCACCTCCCCCCAAACAAACAAAAAACTGGGAAATAAAGTAATGAAGTGGATCATTAGCTGAGTTTTACACCTCTTTGTTATTGGGAAATTTTTATTTTAATGAACCTAAATATCACAGTTTAAGTGTAGCTCAAAGGTCAAAAGGAAATAAATGCATTTAACATATTACGTTCAAATCTGTACTGTTGGTTGAATACACTGTCATTTTTCTCTAGTCTTACTTTCTCAGTAATTTCTTTGATAGCATGTTGTTGTTGTTCGTCCTTTGTTCTGGAAGAGGACCATGACATCAGGGAGGTGAGGCCATGACATGCAAGTGGATTTGATTTAAGTGAGCGAGGGGTGTGTAAAGTCACTAGCCTCACTTTCTCTTCTGGAGCCATCTTGGTCCAATGGCGAGATATAGATCAGGATGACTGGAAGTGGGGCCCAGGATACAGTGGGGGACCTCTAACAGGTCTTTGCAGTGATTAAGGCTTAATTAGAAATGAGGGAGAGAATGGCCTCTTTCATTTAGTAAAAAAAAAAAATCAATCTGGGAGGGGAAGACCCTCAGGGTTTCTGGCCAAAATAGAAAACAATTGCTATTTACATTCACTCTGAGCCAATCTGGGACCAAACAATAACCAAGTAGGGTTTAGCCTTGGACCTATTGTCGGCCAATCAATGAGAGCCAGACTGGTTTGGGGTTAAGGCTGGTCTTTAAGAAAGAAAGAAAAAACAAAACAAAACAAAAAACAACTGGATCAGACTTGTTTTTACAACAGTGGACTTCCCTTTAACTGGACCAATTTGTTCTCTACAGACCCCTTCAATGTTTTGCATTCTGAGACTTTTCAAAAACATTTGTAATTTTTACAATAACATTTATAGTGTGCTTTAAGGTTTGTGAATTTCTTTATATATTTTGTATCATTTTGTCCTCACAACAACCCTGGAAGATAGGTGCTATTATGCCCATTTTATAGATGAGAAACCTGAGAAAAATAGAGTTCAAGTGGTTTGCCCAGAGTCACACAGAGGCAGAATTTAAACCCAGGTTTTCCTGATTCCATGTTCAGAATTCTTTCCACTTTTCTACCCAACTACCTGTTTTTGAGAGGTTATTGGCCAATTTCTTTCATGCCCTGTGACTTTTGTTCCCAAATGCTGAGAACCTAAGGAAACAAAGCACAAGTACT